TGTGGGGAGGGGAAGGGAAAGGAGTTTGTAAACCGCTCTGAGACACCTTTGGGTAGTGAAGGGCGGGGTATAAATCCAATCTCTTCTTCTTCTTATGCTAATGAGCTCCTGCACCTCTTTTTCTACGAACTGACCCCTGATTAAGGGGATGGAACACTTTCCCTATGAAGAAAGGTTAAAGAGGTAAGGGCTCTTTAGCTTGGAGAAACAACAACTGAGGGGTGACGTGAGAGAGGTTTACAAGATTATGCATGAGAGAGAAGGTCAAGAAAAAAGTTATTTTCTCCCTTTCTCACAATACAAGAACACAATTAATGAGCAGTAGGCTTAGAACAGATCAAAAGAAGTACCCTCTTCACTCAAAGAGGAATTCACTGTTGCAGGAACTGATGGCAGCTACAAGCATAGAGAGCTTCAAGAGGGAACTGGAGAAACATCTGGAGCAGAGGTCCATGAGCGGCTCTTAGCCACAAGGTGTAGATGGAATACTCTGTCTGGGGCAGTGGTGCTCTGTCTTCTTTGTGCTTGGGGGGACACAGTAGGAGGGCTTCTGGAGTTCCGGCTCTGCTGGTGGACCGCCTGATGGTTGCCTGGGTTTTGGCCACTGTGTGACACAGAGCATTGGGCTGGATGGGCCATTGGCCTGATCCAACATCGTTTCTCTCATGTTCTTATGTCTGGGGCACTGATGCTCTGTATTCTTGGTGCTTGGGGGGAGGCAACAGTGGGAGGGCTTCTGAGTTCTGGCCCTGCTGGTGGACCTCCTGATGTCCCCTGGGTTTTGGCCACTGTGTGACACAGAGCATTGGCCTGGATGGGACATTGGCCTGATCCAACATTGGCTTCTCTTATGTTCTTATGTCTGGGACAGTGATGCTCTATATTCTTGGTGCTTGGGGGGCAACAGTGGGAGGGCTTCTGGAGGTCTGGCCCCACTGGTGGACCTCCTGATGTCTCCTGGGTTTTGGCCACTGTGTGGCACAGAGTGTTGGACTGGATGGGCCATTGGCCTGATCCATCATGGCTTCTCTTATGTTCTTAGTGGCTATTTGCTACAAGTATAGGTGGGACACCCTGTCTGGAACAGTGATGCTCTGTCTTCTTGGTGCTTGGTGGGCAACAATGGGAGGGCTTCTGGAGTTCTGACCCCATTGGTGGACCTCCTGATGGCCCCTGGGTTTTGGCCACTGCGTGACACAGAGTGTTGGACTGGATGGGCCATCAGCCTGATCCCACATGGCTTCTCTTATGTTCTTATGTCTGGGACAGTGATGTTCTATATTCTTGGTGCTTGGGGGGCAACAGTGGGAGGACTTCTGAAGTTCTGGCCCCGCTGGTGTACCTCCTGATGTCCCCTGGGTTTTGGCCACTGTGTAACACAGAGTGTTGGACTGGATGGGCCACTGGCCTGATCCAACACGGCTTCTCTTATGTTCTTAACACATAGGCTGTAATCTTAATTTGGGAAGGGTCAGACAGTAGGTGATGAGACCTGAGACCCTGGAGGGCTGCTGCCAACCTGAGTAGACAATACTGACCTTGATGGATCAGTGGTCTGATTCAGTATAAGTCAGCTTCGTGTGTGCAAGAAAGCACAGTTATGAGGCAGGAGACCCCTCCCCTTCTGCCCCCACGCCCACATCTGCCAAACCAGCTCCCCCCCCTTCTCCTCGTTTCTTACGTTTTCCAGATCCATCCCACACTCCTCCAGGAAGGAGCTGAGCAACATTGCGGCAGCCTGGGAAATGACTTTTTCTTCGTGCACCAGACTGTGGATGACTTTGAGCACCAGGTCGGTGATCTGGTCGGTCGTGAGGTGCTCCCCGAAAGCCTGACACAAGGAGAAAGAAAGAAGAGATTTTTTTTTTAAGAACTGCATGCCATGGCTATTCATGTCAACACAGAGTGGGATGGAAAATCAGAACAGCAGAAAAAATAAACAGGAGTCTAGCAGCACCTTAAAAGTGAACTAATGTTTGCACCAGTTTTCCTGTACTAGGCTGTGGTTGCATGGGCAGTTTGTGGCGCTATAGTAGAATTACCTGAGTGGAATAAATGGGGCCCTCCAGATGAGAACACCTGCCTCCTGTGGCACAGTTGTTGGCAACCCGTGCTGTTCCTGTCAACCCGCCGGCTTTATCAGGCTTGGTTGCCATGGGATGCTGTGGGGGTGATTGGAATGTGTACTTTTGCTTTTGCCTGCTTTGCTTTGTTATCTCCCAAGGCTCAGACATGTAACCTTGAGCCTCTGTCTTGGCTGGTATCATTTTTCTCTTGGGAATAATGACCCGTTATTTTGGCGGGCCTCTTGCTGAGCCGTGATTGGCCCCAGGCCATTAGACCCTACCTTAATTCAGGTATAACTGCTGCTTTCGCACACTTTTGGGCAGTTCTAACACAAAAAGTGTTAAGAGTCCAGATCTTATCAATGTCTCAATAAACTTTTCATTCCTCTGAATGACTGTTGTTGGGAACTGATCTTTCCAGGGCTCTGATAGTTCCACAATGGAAGCGCAATAAACAGATACCGGGGAAAGTCCGGTATTAGTGGGTTGTTTGTGGTTTCCTCTGGGTTTTCCTGCGTCTGAACTCTCCTGCAGTGAAAGGAACCCGGAAGGGACGTCTGAACCTGCAGATCCGTTTCCACCACTGGGCTGTATTTTTTTGAGTTTTTGCTTATGTGCGCATGAGCACATGTGTACATATGCACATGCCTGGGAGCATATGCACCCACCTGCATTTTAAAAAATGATCAGACTGTCCATGGCTGTGGCTGTACAGTAATGTGGATGCTTGACCACTGGACGGCCGTGCAGGTAACCCACAGCAGGATGTGCTTTCTGGATGATATGCCCCGCAACACTTTAAACCGGTATGATTAGAGGCGCCACCATACCGCGCCAAGCTGCCAGTGTGACCACAGCCCTAGAGACTATTTCTTCAGATGCTGATTGGCATTTGCAGTAGTCCACAAGCAAACGGGAAAAGACTAGCATAGCTGCCCCTCCAGTATAGCAGCTGAAATACATGATCAACACAGCTAAATTCGGGTCCGGCAGACCCTTAGAGAGCCCATGAGATTTAGGCTTCTGAGAGTCAAAGCTCTCTTCGTCAGCTATCCAAGGGGCCAGGGGTCATTTTGTAGAAAAAGAGCTAGGGGAACTCATTAGCATAACTCATTAGCATATGCCACACCCCCTGACATCAGGGGCCCGGTGGTGGACCTGCAAGGCCAGCAGGAGTGCGAGGAAGCCCCACCAAGGCCCTCCCTGGCCCCAGGCAGGCAGGGGTGGGGAGAGGCGGGGAGGAAGCAACTTACCCTCCCTCTTCTCCTGCCTCCTCCTGGCTGAATGAGGGCTGGAAGCGGGGCGGCCAGAAGCAGGGGGCGGGGCTTCATCATGTGCCCCACCCCCTGCACCTCACCCGGGGAACTGTGTTCCCCCGCGTTCCCCCCCGAAATGACTTCTGCAAGGGGCTAATAACCCAAAAATCTCATTGGTTTCTAAGGTGGTCCTGGACTTGAATCTACTGCAGACCAATACGTCTGCCCTCCTGAAAATTATCTGAACACTCATATTGAAGATTTTATGAGCCTGTAGCATTACAGATATGTGTATTGTATTCTCTGTAGTAATGTATGGCTGCAAGAGTTGGACCATAAGGAAGGCCGAGCGCTGAAGAATGGATTCTTTTGAATGATGGTGCTGGAGAAGACTCTTGAGAGTCCCCTGGACTGCAAGGAGATCAAATCAGTCAGTCCTAAAAGAAATCAACCCTGACTGTTCCCTGGAAGGCCAGAGACTGAAGCTGAAGCTCAAATACTTTGACCACCAAATGAGAAGGGAGCCCTCACTGGAGAAGACCCTGATGCTGGGAAAGATTGAAGGTCAAAGAAGATGGGGACAGCAAAGGATGAGATGGCTACACAGTGTCATCGATGCAACGGACATGAAATTGAGCAAACTCTGGAGGACGACGGAGGACAGGAGGACCTGGCGTGATCTGGTCCATGGGGTCGCGAAGAGTCAGACTTGACTGTGCGACTGAACAACAACAACATTGTGTTGTTAACCTCTCACTTATGGCGGCCCAATGAATGAACGACTTCCCAAATGTCCCGTCATTAACAGCCTCGCTCAGATCTTGTGAACCGAAGATCATGTTGGGTCTTCCTTTTTTCTTACTGCCTTCAACTATATATATATACTAGAAAAGAGCAAGAGTCCAGTAGTGCCTTAAAGACGAACCAAATTTGTGGCTTTCATGAGTCATGAGTGCGTGACAGGGTAGGAGCTTTCGTAAGTCTGAAGAAGTGGGCAGTGGCTCACGCAAGCTCCTCCCCGTCCACAAACGTTGTCAGTCTTGAAGGTGCTCCTGGACTCTCGCTCTTTTCTCCTGCTGCAGACAGACTGACATGGCCACCCATCTTGATCCGTCTCCATGGAAGACTCTACATTTAACTATACAGAATGGAAATCCATCCACCTTTTGATAGAAGGAGAGATGCTCGCCTTCTAGCTGTAATTTTATTTTATTTTATTTATTTATATTTGAATTTATATCCCACCCTACCCCGAAGGCTCAGGGCGGCTCACAAGGGCACCATGTGCCAAGGTTAAAACAGTAATATATAATTAAAAGCAATAAATTACAATAGAACACAATAAAAATTTACAAACAAATTGGGCCAAGATGGATAGCTCTTAACTTCCACAACTACTTTCTCAGGTCTTGTCATCTAAAACCGTGCCCAGGCGCCTCACTCCCCCGATGGGGGCCAGGCAGTCATGATGTTCATACGCAGTGCATAGGGGACGAAGGTGGAATAATGGTGGCGGCGGCTCCTACTCAAAGGCCTGGTGGAAGAGCTCCGTCTTGCAGGCCCTGCGGAACTGAGAGAGGTCCCACAGGGCCTGGATCTCTTCCGGGAGCTCTTTCCACCAGGTAGGAGCCGCCACCAGGTAGGAGCCGCCTATATATTCAAGGAATTTACCTGAACATTCAAATTGAGCGTGTCTGGGAAAAGTTCATCTATCGCTTTCCTTCAGTTTTGCATGTACACAGAGTGGGGGTGCGACGGTACCTCTCTCTAATTTTGTGTGGTTAGGTGTGAAGGAGTTTTAAATTTCTTGTTGTTTCTTTCTCTCCCTTAAAATATCTATCGCTGCCACCAGGAGTTTAATTCCAGTCTTAAATTAACCTTTCCCACAGTATTGCGCCCGACTACATGGTGCTGAGGATAAGACTCTGGGTTAACAATAAACAAGATAAAACTTTATTGGTAACGGAAGCGTCTTGGTTACAAGATGCTTTGTTAAGTTGCTTAATAAAATCTGTCCCCCTTTTTCTTCTGTCTCTGTCAGCCTTTTCCCTCACACTCTTACAATACTCAGACAATATCAAATTTTGCCTAAATGCCCTCTTAAGTACAGTTTCTTCCTCTTTTAGAATGTTAATGCCTTTCGCAGCACCTCTATATGATTCCATTTGGAACATACACTTATAACTTGAAATCATTACAGGGGGAGATGGAAACCTGACGTCACCCACAGCTCTCTGAAATGGTACAGCCCTACAAAAGCTGTGTCACGTGACCTTTCTGTTTGTGTTTTTAGCCGGACACCCATGTGAATCAATTGGAAAGATGGCGGGAGGAGAGAAGGCCGGTGGGAGGGAGATGACGATGGCCGTCAGTGGTCAAGGATCGTACCTTCGCCACTTTAGAGATGTTGTTGTAAAAGACGGCCGGGCCAGGAATGAAGAAATCTTCTCGCAACCATTTCACGACATTCCCTTTCTTGTTCTTGTGCCTCTTCTCCATCTCCTTAACTAACCAGAATATTTTGGGAGGAAAAAACAGCATTAGTTCCGTCCCCACCTGCGACCCACGAGGGCTCCTAACTGCTGGTCTGGTTTGGCTTTTACTCTCCACTGCATTTGCTCACTTAACAAAACCCGGAGCACTGCAAACCTGTTCATCGGCTGCTTCCCGAGGCCCTCTGGGGAGGTCGTGAATGCACACTACTGGTCTGAGTAGACAACACTGACTTTGATGGACCAGTTCAGGAGAAGGCAGCTTCTTATGGGGGAGGACCCATGGCTCAGTGGTAAAGCATCTGCTTGGCATGCAGAAGGTCCCAGGTTCAATCCCTGGCATCTCCAGTTAAAAAGGACCAGGCAGGAGGTGATGGGAAAGACCTCCGCCTGAGACCCTGGAGAGCTGTAAAGAGGGGCTGTGACTCAGTGGAAGAGCCTCTGCTTGACAGGCAGAAGGTCCCAGGTTCAATCCCCGGCATCTCCAGTTGAAAAGGACCAGGCAGGAGGTGATGTGAAAGACCTCCACCTGAGACCCTGGAGAGCTGTAAAGAGGGGCTGTGGCTCAGTGGAAGAGCCTCTGCTTGACAGGCAGAAGGTCCCAGGTTCAATCCCCGGCATCTCCAGTTGAAAAGGACCAGGCAGGAGGTGATGTGAAAGACCTCCACCTGAGACCCTGGAGAGCTGTAAAGAGGGGCTGTGGCTCAG